AAAAAAATGTGGTAGACNATCATATATTTTGCAATTTAACACAATAACACCACGTTTCCTGTCAAAAAATTTATTATTGAGAAGATTTACTATTTTACAGTTTATTTTATTCTCCCATTCGGCTTTGTTTACTTTTACTTGAGAAATTTCATCGCCGCAGAATCTCAAGATCTTCATATACATATATAAAAACCTTGGCAGAATCTTGTATTATATCATTCTTGTTACCATATAGTGTTTAGTGCTGGACAATTTTTGCTCTTAAAATTAAGAAAATTATATCGACCAAAAACAAAACTACTCGAAAACGCAATCGAAATATCTCGGGATTATCAATTTAAGATCCCGAATTCCCGGGATTCACAAAATGGTCCGGGATTGGATGACTTAGTAAGTACCAATTTATGTACAATTTTTGAGTAATACCTGCTCTCAGAGCAACATGTTATGTTAACAGCCCGATCGTCGTTTTCCGACGAATATTTGCGCCCAATCCACCCCACTCACGCCTGTGTGTGAGCGATTATTTGCGAACATTGCCGTTCACTTGTCCATGGCCATGGCTTGGTGTGACGCTGTTTACACTAAAATACGAAGCAACAGAAATAATATTAGCGACCAACTACAAAAACAATAGCTACAATAAAAATGGAAAACAGAACTACGGCAAAACAAAAGATTAAATATTCCATATTCCATTTCGAGTAACACGCAAATACAGCGTAGCACGAATTCTTGTCAATACCAACCAGCAAAACAACAAGGAGCAGGCTCAATGGCTTTTCCTCTCCGTTCTCGAGGCCCCTTGGCTCACATCCTTTGGGGAAAAACAAAGAGTGGAAACAACAAACATAACAAATGGACACACATACTTACGTACATATGTATGTAAGTTCATAAGTATGTATTATGTGGCGGTGACAGTATGGACGTGTGGAAGGAAATACCCTGGGGGAAAAGTATCTAACTGTAAGTTAACTTGAAGTTGATTCGGTCACTATTATCTGTATATTTTATTTGAGGAAAGCTAACTGAATTTCTATGGCGATGGTCGCAAAATAGTCAAGGACGGCTACCTCTGCATTAACTAACTTTTAACTAACTACATACATACTTTCGTATACAAAATATCAACACGAACACTTTTTTTTTTTAATTTTTTGTTTTTTATTTATTTACTTTATTTTATTACATTTCATATTTGTTCAAAATGATAATATGGATATGAATTACTCTTGCATTACTTTTCAACTAGTTTCAAGTTAGCTTTTTGTTATACTAACTACAAGTTATACATTTTATAGAAATCCCGTAAAAAAGCTAACTACAAGTTTCTTATTTTTTATCAATTTATAATTTTTTTCTGCCGGGTATGTACTATAGTAAGTAGAATACATGCAACATCCCTGCAAAAATCGCGAGTACTCCATGCATGCGTGTAAAGAGTACTTCCTAAGGACCAAGGAGTACCCCAAAATTAACCACAATTCATATAAAAAATATGGTCTAATTAACATTGCGATGTCCTAGGGCAGGGCAGGACCATATACACCATCTCTGCATAACATCAGAGCAGCAAGAGACTACTCCAACATATTAACGATGGCATTGTTGTTATATTTTTTCGTTTGTACACGCTTTTGTTCTTCACTTCTCAGATGCGTTTTCGAAATTAATAATCAAAAACAAAAATTAAAAATTACATGTTACCTCTGACGGCATTTGAACCTGAACATGCTGGGAGCTAACAACTAACAGCGAGCATTCCTACACGTTCAGCTACAGCCAGACATCATGTAAATGTGCTTTCAAATGCTCAACTTCAATCACATTTCATTAAAACACGAGCAGTGATCGGGTAACAAACAATAAGCTGGTGCAGCGACACGAGCTGGTCCGCTACAGCATGAAAGAGGAACACTTTTGTAAGTACTCCGATATACCACAAATAGACTACATGGACCAACGATTTTTGCAGGGGTACTGTACGTACACACGTTTGGCTCCCCGTTATCGAGCTATTCTGCCTTCTCTACGTCTACGTCTTCCTCTTATTTTTAATTCGATAACTCTCTTCGATTGAAGCATATCTCCTAGACATTGTAGCCAGTATTACCACCTCAAAATGTAATTGTTTAGGAAGATCGATCCAAAAAGAGCAGAATTATAATTCTCTCAACTTAGATTAAATATAGAGTTTAATGCCGATCTCGTTTCTACCGAAAAATGCAACCTTCTCTTTGCCCTCTACGCACAAACACTAAGAAGAGGGCGATGAGAAGGCAACATTTTTGGTATAAACGAAAATGGCATAAGACAATGATATTCTTTCTCAGAAGAATGTGGTTTTGGGAAAGACATCCAACTTTTCTTTTTCACAGCCACAAAACTTTGTGAAAAAAAGTTTTCACAGTGAAAGTTTCCCATTTTGGGTTCACAGTGAAAACTTTTTGACAAATTAATTTATTTGCATTTGAAGAAAGAATCATTGAATTGGCGTGCTAACCTTCTGGGTGCCTGGTGGAGTCTGAGAGGCCCGCCTTATTTTCAAAAGACACAAATGTAATAAATGCAGTTCAATGTGCTGACCAACGCCACCTATTTTCTTGTGCGTAGCGCGATTTCGTATGAACAGGACATATCTGCGTGAGAGACGGGCTTTAAATACCCCACCAGGCTCGCCGCGTTTCTTTTAAAACGAAACACTGGTAACTGTTGTATTTTGTACAAGTAAGCAAACAAAACAAGCGAGCTTGGCGTCCGCGGTAGCCGAGTGGTGAGAGTTGCGTGCTACAAGTCTGTAGATGCCACGTTCGATTCTCGGCTGGATCGATTGCCAAAAATTCTATGCTCTTTTTAAATTTATTTATTGCTTTTTAATTTTTTTTTTATTCATTTATATCACATATTTATTTTACCAATAGTTAATTAAAATTTTTAGAGTTTAAGTTTATTAAAAAAGTCAACAACAACTAACTGAAAGCAAGGTTAAAAAAAAATATAGAAGTTATAAAAACAATGAATAAAAAAGAATTAAATTAAAATTCGACTGGCCAAAGACTTTTTGGGGAGTGTTGCTGGAGTGACAGTCCTTGGCCAGATGTAAATCTGGGTCGTTCCGACTGTCGTGCGGCTCGTTAGTTCGCATTACTGCCGCCTGTCAAGGCACAATTTTACACAGGTCAACTGCGCCGTTAATCCGGATCAACGCTGCCGTCTGTCTATGCTTCAATCCCTTTTAGATAATTGAGCAATCCTAACTAATTAGTTTAGGCATGGCAACTCTATTTTTGCTTGCTGTGCTGCTTATTCATTGCATGCAAGTATGTGTAAGAGTGTTTTAAATTGTTTTATTTCGTGCTGGTCGTATTTACATTCTGTCGCAGTTTTTGTTGTTATTGGTATTGTTTTTCTTGTTGTTGGTTGTTATTGTTATTCTTCCTCTGTATGCGTGCGAGTGTGTTCGTGCGTTATTATTATTTTGTTAACGCAAATAAAAATAGAGGCTGTTTGTATTTGTGTACGCGCATATATATATGTATGTACGTACATATGTATGAACGACGTACATTAGGGTGGCAGTAAGAAATGATTTCTCGCCCTTGAGAAGAACATACAACTGTGATACTAGAGCTGTATTGTTTTAATATCTAAAATTTTAATATATAAAATTTGGAAAAGTTGTAAAAGATCCTTAAATGGAAGTATATTGAAGGTAAAATAAAATGAAATACTGTTTCTTTTCTACAATAACACTACTAAATAAATTTTAAACTAGCCATTTGTAATAGGTTTTGGTTAGCTAAATTCGAATCTGCCGCATCAGGTGTTTTAAATAATCTAACCTTAAAATGCGAAAAATGTGGTGTGGGCTATTTACGTACGTATACGTAGCATAGCGACATTTTTGTTACTCTAAAGGATGTACATAACATTTCAAAGTGTATATCTTACTGTATCACGTGCCGTTCGGCTTGCTCGAATACCCTTCTTTAACCGAGAAATTTAAATTGCTTAGAAATGAGTTCGCTTGTTATTCGTCCAACAAAATATACGTTTTTTGTTTATTTTATTTATATATTGGGTTTACTTTTTGAGCAACAAATAAATAACATTAGTAGTTTTTCGTTCGCCTTATAAAATATCTTTCGAGGTAGTTCGTATTTTTATATTCTAATATGACGATCTACTATGTACATACATACATATGCTTTTAATCTGGTCACTACTCCGCAAACGTACATATGTACATATATACATATACGGAATGCTCAGAATTTATGAGTCTGGAAGAGAGAGACATTTTTTTTTTAAATGAATTACGTTGCAAGGATATTGACACAACTTAATGGTCAATTAAAAAAATCGAAACAGGCCCGTTCTACAAATCGTACGATTTGATATCGGCGGGATTTGCGAAACATTTCTGATTATTTATTCTATTTGTAATGAAAATGATAAATTTTTCAAACTCAATTGTCTTTTTGGTTAAGAAAGCTCGAACGGTGATTTCGATTCTTCCAAAAAGTGTAGCCCTGCCCGGTGCAAAATTTGTTTGATGTTACACTCAACACTGTAAAAGGGCATGTCTTTTGCATTCTTGTCCGTGTATAGCTCACGCATTTCATAATATTGATTTTCAGGGCAACCATCTCCCCTGACAAATCTTCAAATGGCAGTGAATGTGCCTTGTTTGCCTTATAAGAGTGCAACATTTTAAGAAACGAACACACAATTTTCTCACCCTTTGCCTTTAATTTAGAAGCGAACACGAAACGAGAAAGGGGCAATCAAAAGGCGATTTTTTTTTGGTAGAAACGAAATCACCATAAAAAATATTTTGTAAGTCTCCCCGGTGGACTATTTATTATATGTATTTTCCCCAACAAGTTTGAGAATTTGTATTTTTGTAAAGGTACCTTTATCACAAAGATCGGTTATACTATGCATTACATACATATAAAAGTATTGAGTTGTAGTACCTTTAAAACTGTTGTATTATCTATTAAAGATATCGGCAACGCGGTCCACGGCACGCGCATAAAATTTATTGCTTTATAATCGCTATTTTCCATGAGGCGTCCTAATGTAGATACATACTTAAATAAATGCATATGTACATATATGAAGTACATACACACATATGTACATACATACGTAAATATGTATGTTTAAGCAAGGTTGAAGAAGAGTCGAAACAGAACATAGAGAGTAGATTACGGGGTGGCAAGAAGGGGTCAGGTCAAGAATGAATATTGCGGTAAACGGCTGTACTGGCGACTTGAATTTCGCGCGCAAACTATGAACATATGTACATACATACATACATATGTATGTATGTATGTCTGTACATACGATCTACCGAACCTAAGTGCATGTCGAAGAGGGGAGCGGCGGCGGCAGCGAGCAACTAAAAATGTAAACAAACTGATTATCATCCAATCCAATGAATAAATAAAACAGTCGCACACAGAGCAACAACAACGGGCGCTGCAATAAAAACGGCAACGCCACACACTCGACGACGGCTACCATCACTTCGATGTCGATGTCGATGTCGTTGTCGCCACTGTCGCTGCTTCGGTCGTCATTACTGGCATCGTTGCATTCGCAGCAAACGCATGAACATTTGTACAATTACGTACGTACATATATAGGAACCTATGAGTCAATATGCATTTATACAAATCTAGTAGTTACACACGTAGGTATGTATGGATGTGTGTAGCCACAACCCAGTGTAAAAATGGGTTAAGCTGATGCCAGATAAAACTGTGCGGCTTTGCGTGACATTTATACACTTTGCCAGCCAAGCGCAGACGCAAAAGGTAGATACAACATATGACACAATGAACGCCAATATTTAAAACAATTTTGTATTGCTTTTTTACTCGTGGAAATTGCTGTGGATTTTATATTACTTATTTAGTTTTAAAAATATCAGCAATGTAATTAAATTTTATGTTGCTGCATGAAAACTCGAATTTGGAACAAACAAAATAAATATTAAACCAAGTGAAACGATCTATGTATGTACATATCGCACACGATCTTCAAAAGTGATACAACTGAAAATTTGGATTTTTTAAAATTATGCACTAAAAATGTGGACACATAGCTTTTATGTACCTTTAAGCAAAAGCTGGAGCAAATTTTGATTATAATTTGTTGAAAAAAAAACCAAGGTAAAGTCACCCTTGCTCATACGATTAGCACGTGTTACGAAATAGTTTTTCGCATTTTCTACCGAACGTGTAATTTTGAGTTGTGTCACGTTTGAAGATCGTGTGCGATATGTGGCATCTTAGTTGTCAAAGCTAAACTGTCACGCAAATCGCAGCAAGCGTTTTTTTTTATCTGGCATCCAATGTTGCCAGAACTTTTTGGACCAACCGGCTAAATTGGCAAAAAAAAACCGGCTAAAAATGGCTAAACTGTTTCATCTGAATTTCACATGTTTTAATAAATCACAGGTAGACTAGTTCTTGGAGAGAAGTTGCAAATTCAAGATGGAGAAAATTTTGCCAGCAAGAATTCGCAATTAGGAAAAACATATGATTGTGGTACAGGTTGGATTTTTCGTCGACGATAATTTAAATAAATAAATACGTTAAATTTACCAAAAATGTAAGTACATAAATAATTAATTAATTTAGTTAATTCCAAAGATTTGAAAGGTACTCGGCTGAAAAAACTGTATTCGTAATCGGAATGCAATCTCAGCCAGATTCGATATAAGAAACCCGACATTTACTACAACAAAGAAATTGAAACGTATGTTGAAGAAAGTTGGACTGATAAGAAATATACATATATATAGTAGTAGATCCTGTCTTTTGTCCCTTTGAAAGAATTTTAGAAAGTCTATACAAATTTCTTATGTTTGAAATGCAACCGTGGACATAAGCTGGCAGGGAAACTTGCAAATTCCAGCAAATTTGCGTTCGTGCAGAAATTTGGAAGTTCCCCTACTTGAGAGACACTTTGGGAGCATTTTTCCTTACTATCACATAAAAATTTGAGCTCTTTTATTTTAATTTTTACGCATTTCGGTGTTGTTTCATTTAATTCAAGTTGGCTTTCGATTTTTGGAATTTAAATAAGTTCTCAGCAAAAAAAAATTTTGTTCAAAAAAATACGTATGTACATACTTAGTGCTTGAAAATATCAATTTCTTCCGTACGTTAAAGCTTTAAGCGTGGACAACAAAGATGTTGTGTAATTAAGGCAGAATTGCGCTATCTGGGAGGACAATATGTATGTGTTGGAACTATGTATATCCAAACATAAACGCGTGTTAAGCGAACAGTGAAACAATTTGTTATTTTCTAAGTTTTCGAATAAAACTTCACCCTTAAATTTAGGAAATTCATAACAAACATTTTGTGAAGAAAATACCCGCTACGGCCTTCTTTAGAAAAAATATATTCGTTTAAAATAAAAATAAGCGAAATCAGCCCAATTTTATATTACTAAAGGCTAGTCGCCATTTCTAACAGATTTTGGATCGCTTAGTCAAAAATGCATATATATTTAAATGTGGAGAAAACAAGGCAAATAGCAAAATCGGCTTAAAACGGCTAATTTTTTTTTACACAACGGCTAATAAATCGGCTGCCGGCTAAACCGAGATTTCTCCGGCTGTTTGCTATCGCTCGCGAACGTGCTAGTCGAGGTGAAGCGAGTGGTACGGAGATGGAAACATAACTATACATTTAGTGGAGAAGGACTTGTCTTCACTTGGCATTTCCAATTGGCGTCAGTTGGCAGAGAAGAGAAACGAATGGCGTGTCTTGTTGAGCTCGGCCAAAATCAAAGAAGGATACATATGTATGTATATCTATACATATTCCCTAATCTGTAACTGCCAAAATGTACAAATTTACAAGTCGTGGGATCCCTGCTTAACAGCTGTCACTTGCGGCTAGGCTATTTGTCTACTTAGCACACCAGATATTCCCTTGAGTTCCATAAGCCCATGAACCAAAAATACAAGATCACGCCAGCAAGCCAGTAGCCCGTTAAATTCGCATTTAGGAAACAAGTTGGGCGATTTTGACATTAGCCGTTTGTTTACATTTGTTCGTTGCGTACAATTTTGGTGGTGGCTTTTTACTGGAATTTTCTTCATTTTCGCTTGTGACAACGTGCGTACACATAAAGTAAAATATAATTTTACACAACGACATGATTTATAGAAGAATTTGTATAATAAAAAATTATTATTTATGCGTTCAACAATTATTTACGCGGTTTTCTTCGTTCTCTTCGTTGTTTACTTCTTACAACAAAGATGGCGTCGGCATTTCGACAGCTAGAAAATTACTTTTTTCTTTCTTTCGTTCGCGCATGGTTTTGTGTCTTTCGTTCATGCCTTAAACCCCTTATTTTTTTTTTGCCCAAGTTCACCCTCCAAACCTTGAATAGTAGTAACAGCAGTATCTACCAGATGCACTTGTTCAGCCAATGATTTTTTTTATTTCCAATCTAGTTATTATTTCCGAAAAGAAGCTGTAGTTTGCATTGATATAGGCTAACCGTGCTTCAAACGAATTTGAAGCTATTGCTTTTTTCGCCTTCAATATTGAAGAAGCGTCACTATCATTTAGACCTTTAAGAAAGACTTGAAATTCCTTAAAATGTAGGCAATAATATTTTGCCGCCTCTAACCAGGCTCCCCCCCATCTCGTTAATATTGGCTGTGGCGGAAGAGCGATATTGGGATACATGTTCTTAAAAGCTTCAACGCGCACAGCAGATTTTTTTTTTTATATTTTTTCCCATTTGATATTAAATCGTCAACATCACTGGAGCGAGTTCATACATCTTCGGTCACTCGGTGCATTACGTGCCAAACAAGTAACGTGCAGTAACTTTGGGTAAAATACTTTCAGCGCCTTTGCTGATTATACCATAACGAGCCCTAACCGAAAAAAACGTAGGCGACATATTTTTAAAAAATTTTCTTTTTGACGCAGAAATGCCCGTAGAGCATCTAGATTCAATTCTGCATCAGAAGAAAAATTTTGAAAAAAATTTCGCCTAGGTTTTTTTTTTGGGGGGGGTTAGGGCTCGATATATAGCGCTGCGTCAGTGACATTAAAATGACGAAATCAGTACCCAATAGGTGCATGGAATCATCAAATGCTCTCAAAATATGTAAGAATATGCCCTAACAAGTCGATGCCATGTTAACACAAAACTCTTGATTCGCAACATTTGTTAATCTTTAAGTTCCTATAACTTACCAAACAAACAAAAAATGTAAATGCATAGAAATCCGGGCCCTAGTAATGAGTAATCTAACATATGAAGATTGTATTCCCAATCAATCGAATGCGTGATGGTAGTCTTGAAGCGTTGAGAATAAATCTAAGCTTCTATACTTCTTTTGAAGTTGACTTGCTGTATCCGAATGTATCTTTGGTTAAGGGTCTAGAATCCTCTGACACGGCGGAAACGTTTTTCTACTCTCAGACGATATGCACGTAAAAAATGAGGCATCTTGTAATGTATGGGTGAAATTAATGTTCCCTGCAGTAAAATTTAGAGACAGTCTGACAAAGCGCTAGTTCCGCACTACATATGTATATCAGTACTATCACTGAACTAGTGCAAAACGGAGGCAGAGCGGGACAGCTGAAACTTGCAGGGCGTAAATGTGCAAATGCTCACTACTCGTACAATACGAAAGTAGCTCAGCGAGAATATGTACCTCCGACTCAAGCATCGTTAGAGCTTAAGCAGACAGACGGCAGCGTTGATCCGGATCAACTCGGGAATTAACTGCTGTTGATCCGGATTAAGTTCCAATTAATCCCGATCAACGCTGCCGTCTGTTTAAGCTTTTAGTCGCGAGCTCAGATCGCGGTGGAGGTATAGCCATANAAAAAAAACTGCAATCAGAAATAGGCTTGGCATAGTGCCTTAAAAAGTAAAAGTTATTTTGGGGAATTTTTTCAGGAGTTTGGGGAATTAGCCGTAATAGAGTTGGCATCCCTACATGAATGTACTTATTTATATAATATATATACATACATACATATATAGATATGTGAATACATATGGTACGAGCGTGTTATTAGGAAACAATAACAAAAGTTGAAGGAAAACATTCGAGTCGAAACGTAAACACGCATCGACATTCGCACGAACTGAAGATATGGGTATGTATATGTATTATATATATATATGTATGTATTATGTGAGTATTTACAGTGGCGCTCGCCCAAATAGCATACTTTTATTTTTTACAATATTCCCAATGTTTTACGTGATAAATTTTTTTTACAAAAAATTTCAAAAACATGTCATCAAAATTTTAAATTTTTTCGGAATTTTAGAAACTTTTTGGGTATGCGGTTGTGTATGCAGTTTTTAGCTTAATAAATTTTGGTATAAACATATGCA